GGGGGGGGGGGGGGGGTAATTTTTCAACATATATCGTGTATATACACTGCCGGAACAAAGTATTGGCACAGCAAATTTTTCACAATATATGCAATAATTTTTATACTAATACTTTTCCGCCAATTTTATATAAAAACATGGTTCATTCAACAACAAAAAACATAAAAATATAATTCCTAAACTTTGTGCAAAACTCGCGAAAATTCAGCAAATTTCCATCAAAATTTTCAACTTTTTAATCAGATTTTTTAGAATTTTTTTGAGTATGCAGTTTTGCAGCCCATTAAATTCTAGTAAAAATGCAGATTCGGAGTTAGTCGAAAATCGCGTTGATTTTTGAGAATTTTTTTTGTTAAAGGTGTTTTGCATTTTTTCCATATAAAGTATTTTCGAAAAAAAAAATTTATGGAAGAGACTGCGTGAAAAAAATTGCCAAAAATTAACCATAATTACTAGCTACTTCAAACTTGCACTTTATAATAAAATTGATTGGGCCACAAATCAGCATACTCGAAAAAATTCTAAAAAATCTGATTAAAAAGTTGAAAATTTTCATGAAAATTTGCTGAATTTTCGCGAGTTTTGCACAAAGTTTGGGAATTTTATTTTTATGTTTTTTTTTTGTTGTAGAATTAACCATATTTGTATACGGAATTAGCGGAAAAATAATAGAATGAAAATTGTTGCATATATTGTGAAAAATTTGCTGTGCCAATACTTTGTTCCGGCAGTGTAAATTTGAAAATCACCGCAATTTAAAATTTTTAGAGTTTTGATAGTTTTGAATTTCTTGAAGTTTCCCATCTTAAATAACTTGAGTGGAATTCCAAAATTTTCTAAACTTTCAAAACTTTGTGAATTTGAGAAATTTTAGTAAATCACAATAATTCAATGTAATGATGAATACTAGATTTCTAGAAATTTTTTATTTTTCAAAAATTTTGAAAATTGTAGGAATTATACAAAATTTTTTCTAAGTAAAAGTGTCGAATATACAAAATTCATCAAACAAAATAAAAAGTTTTCGAATGTTGAAAATGTTTTCATATTTCGTCGTTTTTGCAAGTTTAAATAATTTTCGTGATTCTTGAAGATCCAAAAAATTTTTAGACGTTGATGTTTTCAAAATTTTCAAAAAATTTAAAATTCTCAAACTTTGTTATATCAATACAAAATTTTGGAAAAGTTCCGAAAAGCGGAAAAATTTTGGAATTTTTCAAAAATGTTAATATCTTTTAGAATTCTAAGAATTTTCTATTTTTTACACACAAGTACCATGAATTTTTCGACAATTTGTGATGTTTCACATTTTTACATTTTAGGATGGATTTTAGGATAAATAAAATTTTCAAAATTTTGGAAAATATAAAAATTTCTAAAATCTCAATAATTTTGTACATTTCAAAATATTCTCATTTTACCAAAATTTCTAGCATCTCCCGGATTTAGGTAGTTTTTGAAATTTTTTTTTTCCCCCAATATCCCCTACCTGGGTCCGCCACTGCAAACACCACATATAAAATTTAATAAAATATGCCTATAGAAAAGATTATGTAACAATTTTCACACATTCGGCCCAATTATGGTTTTTGACTTCGACGTCGATGTAATTTTTTCCTAAAAAAAATAGCCCTCGTAAGTTCAAGGTGTTCCTCGCAAAAATACTGTGGTCAGCGTAGCTGGAGTTGGACTTACGAGGGCTATTTTTTGATGAAAAAATTACATCGACGTCGAAGTCGACAATCATAATATCATGTCTCCAAAAAACTTGCAAAGTAGAGGAAACTGGAGGGCAATATGCAAGTTTTACTGGACAAATTTTAACTTGTAACAATTTTCAAGCAAGAAAAACAGCTGATTGTATGTTGCAGGCTGCAATTGAAACTAATAAAGGAATTATTTATGGGGGTCTTAGAGTGGAAATTGACCAAATAAATCTATTTAAATATATAAAAACCTGTTCATATATTAGGCGAATAAACAAGAAAATAATTAACTGCTTATGAAATTAGCAAATTGTTACTGGTTTTGCGTTCACGTACATTTTTGGATATTTTCCTGTTTAACCGTGGAAACACAATGCCGGCGAACGGCGAAATTCCCGCTGTCAAAATTAGAACACCCGCCGGTATATGAAATTGAACACAGCCAAAGCGAAATGCGAAGTTTGCTCGGCGGCGTTTCGTGGCGATAGATTTATTTCTATCACTCTGCTGGGCGATGGCGGCAGTACATGCCAAAGGTGGCCGTATGTTTTTTGTGCTTTCAAAGATTTAGAAGAAAACAACATATAACACGAATTATTTTTGTTGGTTGAACAATACAGTGATCGATTCGGTAAATCTGGCTTAAAATAAAATAATTTATAATAATTTCCCCTTTCCTTATATTTTTATTTGTTATCATTTCATTATTTCTAAATATGGTTTCGTTTTTCAAAATATGGTCACCTAAATTATAAATGCGACAAAATGGTATCAACTGTTTTCGCTACCGCTCTAATTCTGTTAAAGTACGCAAAATAGCAGGGGGAACGGTGAACGACGGCATCGCCCAATTCGGCGAACTTTGCCGTTCGCCGGGTATTGTGTTTCAAGCATAAGAGCGAATGTTGCCAAATTCTCGGAAATTTAATTACTGGCAAGTTACAACTTTTACATGAACAAACCGAATATCAAAAATTGGCTTTCTCAAACATTTTTTTATTATTCCTTCTACCTGAACTGTCTAAATGTGAGCTTATTATTATTCAGTCAACTTTATAGAGGTGGCTTACATTTTTTTCTATGCCACATCATACATAATATCTGTGTTCGTATGGAAAAGTAGCATATGTCGAAAGGCTGGCTTTAGTATAAATCGGCATTCGCAGCATACGGTTGCGAATGACTTACGGGCGCTAAGCCGTTAAACAACATTTAGCAAATAAACGTGCAAGAAATAGTTCCGATGCTAGCAAGTCAATATTCTTTTTAAGTCTCATCAAAAAATTCCTTGTCGTTTAAAAAATAAAGGGAATGCCGCATTATACTAAAGCCGGCCTTTCGACATAAGCTACTTTTCCATACGAACACAGATATGTACATGAGTGAAGCCACGTGAAGTTCACCATCCAAACATCGTTAAGTGACGTATTTTCGAAAAAAGTGTAAATTAATACTTTAAAGAAATTCATTTGTTCAAGTTATTGACTTAGATTCCAGCTCTTAAGAAAATTCATAAGAAGTATTTTTCATTATTTCTGTTGCTTGAAAAAGCACTTTGTTTTTGCTGCAAAAAATCGGTAATCGCTTTTAGAGGTAACGTATTCTGGAAGGCATAGCGTTATAATGCCTTCGAACTTTTTCGCTTCTTTCAGGCACTGCCGAATGCAAAGTAGAATGTCCTATAATATTTCTTTTTTAATTCGCTTCTTTGCTTCATTTCAGGGAATGCAAGGTAGAATGTCCTACAATATTTTATTTGTTTCACTTCTTTGCTTCATTTCAGTGAATGTAAAGTAGAATGTCCTACAATATTTTATTTGTTTCACTTCTTTGCTTCATTTCAGGGAATGCAAAGCAGAACGTCCTACAATATTTTTTTTTTTATTTCGCTTATTTGCTTAATTTGGGGGAATGCAAATTAGAATGCTGCATCGTAGTAAGCAGAAAAATAGAATGAATAACCAAAAATTCTTTTTCTATCGTTACTTTCTGTGGAAATTTGTCTCGCATAAAAATCATGTTTTGCTTTGTTCAATTTGCAGCGAAGTTGAAGTCAGTCAATGAAGTGAAGTACAAGAGTGAGGAAATACAATTATAAGCTTAATTAAATATGCAGGTACGTACATACCGATTTTTAAGTAAAATCTATGTACATACATACCTAAATACTTACATAGGTATGTATAAAAACTGATTTATAAAAATTTTAATTAATTTTAATCTTTTAAGACATTTTCTGATTTCAATTTAATATAAATAAGCATGTACTTATCTAGGTATTCTACATTAGTTTCTCTGTAAGGCATTATTTGTTCGCTTCTCTGGATTCTGTTTATCCATGCGTTCTCCCTTCGTTTGAGGATAATGCTGTGGGTAAGGGCTTCCGCCAATGACA